TAAAGGATCTCTCTGATTGGAAAGAAATATAGTGCCAATGGTTCAATTAAAAAGTTTTCAATTATAAGTTTTCCGACATTAGAGAGTATTGAAAAGCCTGTTAAATAACAAGTACAATATGATAAATATAATTTTTAAAGAATTGTTTTTTGTTTGATTAATCGGCTTTGGGAAACAATTCCAGACTTACGAATCGTGCTGCTAACAAAGTAAGAAAAGGCTTTACTTTTTGAAAACTTTCGTTTAAAATCAACTTAGCGCATCATGTCAAGGCAGGGAAGGATGAAAAGGATCGGTGCGAAAGAAAAAAGAAGAAGAAGAAAGATTCTGAAACGCCCACTGTTTATCTGTATTGTTTCTTTACCCACTCGTTAAAATTCAGTTTGAGGATACCCAGCCGCCGAGTTTGAAGTAAAAAGTGGTGGAATAAAGGGAAAGCATACTTCTTAAGGGGGAAATTACTTGAAACGAATCGAACCGGAAAAGCGTGAGAAAAAAGACAAAAGATGAGGAAGGAGAGAAAAAGTCCCTTGTGGAATAAATTGTCGGCGGAGGAAGGAAATCTGATATTTTTTTCAAGGGTGGAAGCAAAAGTGGCAATCTTATAGATGAATCATAGAAGCCGATGCTGTTTCTATTGTCCACAAAATGTTAAATTATATATGTTAGCTTATTTCATTTTATATGAGTAAAAGAATGAATAGTTTTAAGTTTTAAATTTTCATTTTTTTTTTATTGGGCCAATTCAATAACCTATTATCAGCAAATTAAATTATAATCAAATTTCTAGTTTTTAATTTTGTATTTTTATTTTTGAAGTATAATCAATTTGAGTATTCAAATGTAGCCCAGAAAAAGAGATGTCAGTCGAATTCACTGTATAGTTCGGTGCCTGTTACGGCATCGTCCTTTCTGCCCTCGTTTAAACCTTTGAGTAATTTTTATGCAAACTTTTCTAACATATATTTCTTCCCTGCATGTTAAGGTTTTAACACAGTAGTAAAACCGAACGGGCGAACCTGCATGCAAAGTTTCCCTTTGTCGTTCAGTCGCGATAATCAACTTTGTATTGTAGCGTCTGTAAAGTTGTTGCTCAAGTTTTATTTTATTAATGGAATGGGTAATAAAGCGGCTGAATTTGAGCCCCACCGAAAGCCCTGATTTTGTTACGTTTAATTAACGATCGAGAGCAATAGATTCAGAAGTGGTTTGTGTCAAGTGCGCCTCCTAACAAAGTCTTGGAGCACAAAGGCTTATACTTTAAAATACAGAATAAAAATACAGCAAAATTAGATAAATAATTTTACCTGTAAAAAACAAGTTGAACAATTCTTTCAAAGAACCGAGGAAGAAAAAAGAAAACATAAAACTTAAAAAAAAAATAACTGCTATATCTTTGGGAGTCCATGGTAAGATGTTTTCCTTAAAAAACTTTATGGAAAGTAAAACTTAAAGTAACGGTCACGATGATGATGAAAGGAGACTAGGAAGTGGGGGTTTATGGAAATGATAAATGATGGAGTGAGTGTGGTGTTCAATACTTTTTAAAAGGATAGTTCCTACTCACAGTAAGTTGTTTTGCAACGATCCGGATTTCGAGCCTTTNTGTAGAAGTCCTTCAACCTGATGATGAGCTAAAAGGCTCGAAATCCGGATCGTTGCAAAACAACTTACTGTGAGTAGGAACTATCCTTTTAAAAAGTATTGGGGGTTTATATTCCCCAAGCACAGCAGCATAATTGTACTTTTCTAATTCCTAGTCTGCCTATTAAATCCTATTTTAAGGAGTACTAGGTCATTGACTGTCGATGGTACAATTTCTCCCGGTTTTATTTATATCCCATGTTGTCTCTATTTCTTCCTTCTAATCTACAAATGGGATCATCATTGAATATGGCCATGTTGTGTGGTGTTTCCTCAGTTGCAGGTGAACGTTAAGTCGTCCTATCCTTTGAGTTTTTCAGCATAAATTTACCTTGCTACAGCTCCTAGATTTATCCACTTTTCCTTTTTTAGGATTCTGTGTTGGTTTTTTTTATGCCAATGGTTCAGGGCTTCATGATCTTGCAGATCCTCCTCTGGCCAGTTTGTATTTTTCTTTACCGAAAATTCCCTTGTGTCCTGGTCCTGAATATCAGGTTGGCGTTTTTGAGGTTTTGGAGATTTCGGATGCATTCACTGATTAGTTTTGGTGTGCTTTAATAGCTGAATGTCCGATCTTATGATAAACTTTATGAACTGTAGAGTGGCACATACGAGTAGGACTAACCACTGGGTCACCGCGGGCCCCGCTACAACTTTATGAATAAATTTAAAAAAAATAAAATTTATTAAAACTGGTCTTTAAAATTAGACCAACCATTATTCACTATTCATTTTCATATGGCTTTGCTCTTTTTAATCTTCTGACCGTGTTTCCGTTAAGTAAGAGTTTGGTCGCTTCCACATTCTCGTGCTAGCTGAGGCGAGCCTGATGTTTGGCGGCAAATCTTTGTATTTCCGCCGTGACTTCAGGATCTTAAGATCCCTTGTAAGTCCTTATTCCTTACGTACCTAGATGCATTGACCATGTTACGTAAGATTTTATTTTGTAGCGTTTGTATGATTTTGATATTGCTGTGTTTGGTTCAACCCCATAGTTGAATGCCATATATCCACAAGTCTTTATGACTTGTTTATGTAATAATATTTTATTTTGTTTAGCAAGGTTGGAGCCACGTCCTATCAACCAGTATCTATACCTTAAACCTATTTCTGTCCTTTTTTTCTTCACGTGTTCTTTTCATCTCAGTTTGGCATCTAAGGGCATTCCCAGATATTTAGCTGTATCGCTGTATAGTAATTCCATCGATTGTGAGCGACGGAACATGGTCCACTTTTTTGTTTGTAAAGATTAGATGACCTGACTTATGCTGATTTAGCTTGATTTTCCATTTTTTTGTCCATTCTCTTATTACAAGCATTTTGGAGGATTTTGGTTGAATGGATGATAGTCGGTCTTAGTGATATCACCGCTGTGTCATCTGCAAACGTTGCAATTTTTACTCCATCTATTTTCGGAGAATCACTGGTGTATAACAAGTAAAGAAATGGACCTAATATGCTACCTTGTGGCACTTGTGCATTTATAGATTTTTATTTTGAATATTGATCTTCTTGTTTGACTCTAAACAGTCTGTCAGGTAGGAACTGGTAATATCAACATACTGCTTTGGTATCATCCCTTTTAGTTTATTGATGAGTCCTTCGTGCCAGACCTTGTCAAAAGGTTGTGAGCCATCAAGGAAGATAGCAGAACAAATTTGTTTTTCTTCAAAAGATTTTTCTACTTTGTCCGTTACTCGGTGAATTTGATCTATTGTTGAATGTCTTTTTCGGAATCCAAATTGGTGGTCAGGGATGATTTTCTTTTTTTTCTACAATCGGTCTTATTTGTTTTAATTTCGGTTTTCAAAGAGTTTAGACACTGACGGTGACATCATTGGTTTATATGATTTGACCTCGTTCGCTGGTTTTCCTGTTTTTTTAATTTATCATAATGACTTCTGCGAATTTCCAGATGCTGGGAACATATTTCAGTCTGATTGCAGCATTAAATAGGTATGTTAGTTTAACTATACCCTTTTTTGGCAATTGTTTTAGTATTTCTCCAGTGATAAGGTCATATCCTGGAGACATTTTAGCAGGTAAATTTTTAATTTCTTGTGCTACTTCTTTAGGTGTAACTAGCTTTCTATTTCCTTCTTGTGGAGTAGTTGTTACTTCAAGTAAGCTGGCATTGATGTTTTCATTTGGTTTGAAGATTTTAGCAAGGTAACTAGCAAACAATTCGGACTTTTCTCTGCTGTCTCTCGCCCTTGTACCATCTTCTTTTTTTAATGGAGGAATTTTGTATGAATTAAATTAATGTTAAAAATGGCGCCGCCTTGCACCGCAAAACTTGGTTGGTTCACTGATAGTTCACATTTCGAGTAGGTTTGATATTTTTACTTCCCCGACAGGGAAAATTTTAGATAAACATAATCAGAAGGCCCTTGGCTGTAACAAAACCATTTAGCCCGAAGAAATGAGTCACAGATAAGTTGAAGATAACGCCATCTGTCCCAGGGACGTCGCTTCATCCTCAACTCCCTCGTTGTACTTTCACGCAGGCGAGATAACATATAAATTGCTCCCTTTAAAAATACCTTCAGCAATGCGCACCGAAATTGCTTAATTGGTGAATCACAATTTCTTAAGGACTCAAGGAACCATAATTTTTTTGCAATCGAGGAGGTCGTTTAAAAACCACAGATTATACACTTCAATGGAAAAATCTGTGGAAAATAGTTTCTAGTTTAAATTAAACTTTTGTATTTTAATTATGACAGTCATAGATAAACTAGAGAAGTTTCGATATTTTAGATGTAAATTAGCCAGGGCAGTTGAAGTATTTTTTCATCCTTTCTTATTATTTCTCGTCGAAAAATTCTTACGACATATTCTCCCAAAGGTGGTAATTTTGTACCCTTTCAAAGTCAACTTGTGAAAGACAAAGTTCAAAGGAATATCACAAATTCTACGTTCAGATATTCCAAAACGTGAACTCTGGCATGACACAAAATAATTTTAATACAGTATGGCTGGTATCAAAGAGAACTTTTAGTAAAGACTAAGCTATTTGCAAAAGACTGTGTTTTAAAAAAAAATGCTTATAGAAGGAACAATAAGGAAAGGTTTTTTTCGCTTAAACATTACATTTTATGCTTAAGCCCTTCACATTACAATTATCACTGAAATTAATAAAATCCGTTCCTTACATTGTTTTTAGGTTTTTATATTTCAATAGACCAGAAGTAAAGCTTAAGATCACAAATAAATAATGGATTTTTGGTGTAAGAAAGAGTGTTTGGGAAATCATGACTAGGCACAGAAACAATCCCAGGCGGGTTTCTTAAGTATAACAAATGGATACCATGAGCTCGACATAGTTTTATAGATATTAATGCCAATAAACCCACCATCCTTGCTGATTTCTTCTCTGTCATTCGTTTGTTTTCCAATACCTGTAAACAAAATATTCATTATAGTACGTTATAACGTAATATTTATTAAATAATATAGATTTTCCAAATGCGCGAGAGTCTCATAAATTGTATAATTTAATTTGCAATAAAATGCTACCCGTCATTAAAAAGAAAACGGTGAAAAGCTGTTTTTCATTATAAAAAATGGTGTTGAATAAAACGATCCGATTTGTAAAGTTTAAGGTAAGCGCCCACTCGGATTTTCCGATCATCAAAGAAAAAAAAATCAATTTTCAAATGCCTGAGATGCATCCACGCATCAGCAAAACAATTGAATTGCTTCACGTTAGATGGAGCTGGAAGATATGACTCTTGCTATTATGATGAAAATTATAATACAGAATTATTATAACGTGATATAAATCCACAATGTTACAAAAAAAAAAATAAAGTACACATTGCAACCCTTTAGGGATATTCTTCCGGCGGCAGAGCTACCACAGATATATTAACAAAACCAAAATGTTTAAAACACACACTAGACACTTTTTTTTAAATGCAACTTTACTTGTAATAATCATAAACCCATATGTGTTATTCCTATTAGCAATTGAACTAGTGAATATGTATTTATAACTCAGTGAGCAATTGCCACAATACATTAGTGTTTTTTTAAATATCGACACAATAAAGTTTGTAAATGTAACCTGTAACTGTAAAACTAATATGCGAGATGTTTTTCAGTTGTAGAGGAAAAATTGAAAAAAAACAAAAACATATTTGCATAAGAGATACAGTTAACAGAGAATAAGAAAAGAGATATCAAAAAAAGAAACAAGTTAACAAAAATAGGTATTTCTTATGCCCACCCTCAGTAAGAAAATTCTAGTAAAGAGAATTGGAATTGGTTAGAGTTATATTATATTAAGCAAAACAATATTTTTACGTGAGTTCATGATATGAGTAGATAATAAATTATAGTTCACACTTCTACAAATTGATAATTAGAACAACAAATTTTTTTACATATTTTAACAAAATTAAATATTACAAATGACATGCTTTATTAAATAATTTTGGAATTTATTAACATTACTAGTCATAAAAATTGAATTTAAATAGAAGTGCAGTTTTTAAACTAATAATGAAGGCATGTTTGGCAAAAAGTTCAGAATTAATTTTAGGCAGGGTAATTTTTGATTTTTTAGATAAACGAGTAGGATACACATGCAAATTATAGCTATGTTGTTTTAACTTTAAATGTATGAATACATGCGCCAAATACAAAAAGGTTTTTTTTTTACATTAAAGACATCAAATTTTTTGAACAATTTTTCAGAACTAAAACTTGGATGCACATTTAGTATAATTTTAATCACAATCTTTTGAGCAACACAAACCTTATGTAATGGTTTTCAATTAATTAAGGTTTTTAGTTGAGATAAAAAATCAGTGTCACGAGCGGGATTCGAACCTACGATCTTCGGCTAGATGCGCCGCTGCTCTACCACTTGAGCTATCGTGACCTCGAAACTAACCTCTCTCTGACACTAACTTCCCATCTCTACCCCACCTTTTGAATTCTTCCTTTTTGCCATTTTTCAGTGTGGATCGAGGTCACGATACTCAAGTGATAGAGCAGCGGCGTTTCTAGGCGAAGATCGTGGGTTCGAATCCCCCTCGTGACACTAACTTTTTTATCTCAACTAAAAACCTTAATTAATTGAAAGATATTAATTGGTCAAGCGGACCACGAAAACTTATGTAATAGATTTTTACGATATTGCCCCATACTGTCAAACCATATTGAAGTAATGATTGTCATAAAGCAAAATATACAGTTTTTACAGTGTGAGGATCAAGAATATTTCTCAATAATTTGAATTTATAAAATAATTTACGAATACGCTTGGTGAGAGTTTGTAAATGTATTTTAAATTTCATATTGCAATCGAACCAAATTCCTAAATATTTACATCTAGTAATAGTTAGTACTGGACAGTCACAATTTCCATCATATGATTTACATTCATTTTTGTGAAGAGTGAGATTTGGATAAGATGTGTGTGATTGTAGTCTCAAACCATTGGTGGGACAGAAGCACCAAGGGAAGGTTAACCCACGAGTTTCTACCCAGTATTGAGGACCGAGGAAGAGCAAAGTGGTTTCAACCAGATTTCTGTATCACACAAATAATGACAGGTCACGGAAATTTTAACGCTTACCTGCACCGATTCCGTAGAGCCAACAGTCCACTGTGTCCCGACTGCGGAGTTGATGACAGTGTCCAACACAGACTATTCAACTGCCCCCTCCTTGAGAGTGCGAGGGAACCTCAAAAGATCCTCTTCCACCACACTTGGCCACCGACCCTCAAATAGTGCGGTCATCCGGCATGGTTCAGATCTCCTAACGACCGCTAAAGAGAAAGTAAATGGGATGGGGAATTATTTCGAATCAGTCCACCGCCAGACTTTAAAGCAGGGTCCACAGTATCTTCAAAGGCTTCTATCTAGGAAAATAAAAACGATCTCTGATAGCCTTAATTACAGCCCTAGAGAGTGCAAAATCGTTACTTCTAGCGAAGTCAAAAACATCATAAAATCAAGGCAAAATAGGAAAACCCCAGGATTTGATGGTATATCAAACCTTATGTTAAAAAACATTCCAAAAAAAGCTCTGGTTTTCTTAGTATACTTGTTTAATGCGATGTTCTTCCTCGGATATTTTCCTCAAAACTGGAAGACGGCAAACCTTATTTTTATAAAAAAGTCAAAAAGCCTGCCGAGAATCCGTCAAGTTATAGACCCATTAGCCTGCTGAGTGCACTCTAAGTTATTCGAAAAGTGCATTCAGCACCGTCTAACCTCCACATTAATGCTAATGACATTATTATAGATGAGCAGCACGGCTTTAGACCGGGCCTCTCTACGGCCACCCAAGTCACTCGCGTAGTAGAACATGTGACCAACATGTTCAACAACAAAAAACACTGGGATGGTCCTCTTAGACATGGAGAAGGCCTTTGATTCGGTCTGGCAGGACGGTATAATTTACAGGCTCATTGAAATGAATTTCCCTGGATACCTTATAAAATTTGTCATGGCCTACTTAAAAAACCGGTTCTTTCCGTGTTTCCCTAAACAATGAAACTTCTAGACCTTTCCCAATTGTCGCCGGAGTTCCCCAAGGTTCAATCCTAGGGCCATGTTTGTTTCTCCTTTTTATAAATCCACTCCCCTCACTGAGAAATTGCAAAATTGCGCTTTATGCGGATGACATAGCTGTCTATTGTTCATCCTGGAGGCCTAAGACAATTGCGAAAAGACTAAATGACAGCATCACCAGGATTTGCAGGTTTTGTCACCGCTGGAAACTTAGGATTAATGTCCCCAAAACTGAGGCCATATTTTTCACAAAACGACGACCAATATTTAGGGAAACCATTCACGGATACAAAATCGAGTGGTGTGAAAGGGTAAAGTACTTGGGTTTAACTCTGGACCGAAAACTTAACTTCTCTAGACATATAAATGAAATAGTTACAAAAGGTAAAATAGCTATTTCCGCTGATGGCCCGTGAGAGTGGAATGAGCTTTGAAATTAAACTAATTATTTATAAAGTAGTTATAAAACCTATGCTGCTGTACGCTTGCCCAACATGGAGTTACACGTGCGAATCCAACATCCAAAAACTGCAAGTGGTCCAAAATAAATTTCTAAGGTTTATTACGTCACTACCACTATACACCAGAATTGGCCTCCTCCATGAGAGAGCGGGAGTGGAATATATTAATTCTGAATTAAAGCGTCTGTTCAGGAATTTTTTTATGCGTCTCTCCTCCAGCAAGAACACTACTTGTAGGGATATAGGAGTATATGATCTAAACTTTCCATGGAAACATAGAAGGATCAAGCACAATACATAAATTTAGGAACTGTGATATATTTATTTATTGTTGTTGTTTCCTCTAGAGCTGTGATACTATAAGACAATTTGTGATAATTCAATTACCCGTACTGCATTGTTCTTGTTATTCTCATTTATTTATTTATAATCTTGTTAACACATTTTTGTTAATTCATTTGCTAATTGTTATCCTATTTGATACCTAGTGGGTTTTTTACGAAAATTTTTCCCACTATTTTTCTAGTTTGATTAATTAAAAATAACAACAAACTAGGACTAGGTGCGTTGATAGGCAAAGTTTTGAAATAGGACGTAAAAGTGCCCCCTTAATGAATGTATGTAACATAATGTATAAGTATATTTTTTTAATAAATGTTTATTCATTCATTCCACCTACCCTCAACGAACTGGATAAAGAAAAGGGGACGTTTGAGGTCCTCAAGCCTGTTAGCCGAGCTATAGTCGATAAAGCACCTGACTAGTTTTTTCTCTTTCTTTTTTCTTTTTTTCTTCCTATGATAACTAAGTTACTTGTTAGATCTTAGCGTTTCCCTGAACTTTTAATTCCGGGCTGGTTACTCCTTGTACCCATAATTGTTAGTTATTTATTAAAATATTGTATATATATCTTTATTAGGAAGTCTATTCAAAGGATTAACCAGCAAAGGGGAGACCTATTAGATTAGGTAAATTAATAATAACAAAAATATTTCCCTGCTTCCTTGGGTCTTCCCTTTCAAGGCAAGGTCGAAGGAAGCCGTTAAGCACACAATAAGATCTCCTAAACTTGCATCCCATTTGAATTGCAAAAACCATTGCAAAAGGACATCAAAGAGGTTTCATTTATATTGTTTGAGTATTCATCCATTCTTTAATTATTTTAAAACTATTAGAAACAATGTTTAATAAATTAATAAATCAATTGTCAGTAAAAATAAATACTGTATCATCGGCAAAACAAAACGGCAAGCCATTAATATCTTAAGTAAAACTATTATTGATGTTTGAAATGAAGAGCAATAGGAATATCTAAGTATTTAATTTAGAAGTTAGGTACCTCTTGATTTCCATGAGTTGATGACCAGATTTTTCTTTTGTGAAGTAGTCTTTTGTTTATAAGGGCGGGTAA